AGAGAGAGAGAGAGAGAGAGAGAGAGAGAGAGAGAGAGAGAGAGAGAGAGAGAGAGAGAGAGAGAGAGAGAGAGAGAGAGAGTCGGGATCGCAGCTCCACATGAAATGTTACATATCTTCCATGACTTTTTCCACATCCACGTCTTTGCGTCTTTTGTTTTCTCCCTTCTCCTCGTGTCTCACATTTTATACTCTTCTCGCCGCGGGCGAAGCCGCGGCAGGTCCACTTGTTTAATTTTATTTTCTTTACATTACTAGAGGAGAGTGTGTCTGATCTTAGCCAAAAGGTCGAGAAAGACAGCTGTAATGTACGGGCGTTCTATTCTGGTGAAGACGGTGGGAAAGAGGCAAAAATACAAATGGATCAGTGGCAAACTACAAATCGTCCACATACTTTTCAAGCACCAGGAAATCATTCGCCGAACATATGCTTTTTAACCACCAGAAAATCGATGGCAGGATTGCCTAATTTGCCTCCACTCTAAGCAATCTTTACAGAAAACGAATGCCACGAATGAGGCAATACCTCCCACAACCATAACAGGGTTACCCTTTTTAGCAGTTCATGGTCGTATTGGGTTTTCAAGGGTCGCTTTGAAGTTTGAAGTAGCATGAATGCCATTCAAATTTCAAACAGAACATAAGGCACATGGGCGAGACTTCATTTCCACAGTGATTGGATTCATTAGTGGATATAAGATGAAACCAAAACAAACAAAACAAATACATATTTGATGATGATTAAAACAAAACACCACCAGAAACATTCCCAAGAGTCCAAGCCATTACTCGCTGACTTCAAGAATCATGTCGTTCAGCCACTACTCAATGAAGTTCGTTATCCTCATTCGTTCCGTCTTTTATATCCCGAGCCTGCCATGGAGGTGCAAGCCACCTGTTCATCCTCGTAGGGAGCTTCCACCTTTCTGCAGTGCTTGGCACCTTTGAAATTGTGCCAGGCTGCGTGTGTTTAGAGATCTTTGACCACAAAGGAGCGAAGCCGCTACCATTCCATTTTTTTCCGAAAACGAAAGGAACTACTATGATTTTACATAATCGAGGCAGCCGCCAGGCTGTTGTAATCACCCGGTTTCGGGTCAAATTGATACAACTATCTACAATTTCATTACGCCTTCACCCAAGGGTTTAGGTGTAGGCCAGGCTGTATCAATTTCCTCGCTGACCCATTGTGCAAAAGGTACGTCGTACTAGATTTATATCCAACACCTACAATTTCTACAAAACAGAAATATTTGGTTTCCATAACCTTCACTTTATGTAATTCGACAAAGAATTCCTGCGTCCAGGAAGCCGCTGTTAGGCGTGATCACCAAAAAACCATTGATGCCAGGGCCGAACGCGCATCTTGAAGGCTACCCTCCGATCGCCGCCGGATCTTTGCAGTGAGCCTTTTTCTCCGCAACCTTAAGCTTTTGCTCTCTATCGACGACCCTCTATCCGCAATGCTCTTCAGTCGTATGGCAAATTTCTCAAGCTCGTGAGTCCGAGTTCATTACTGCTCACAGAAGCGGATTGGTTACCACTTGCCCTTATCCATGAACTTCACCATAGCCCAAATAGCTGGCGAGCGTTTTCCGCTCTTTGTCTTTTCTGTTTATCTAGACGACATGATGGGTCAATTAGTTCGTTTATACGTATTAACTGTAGCTGCTGCAGAATCTGCTACTGGGCTCGCTATTCTTGTTACTACTTTTCGAATTCGTGGCAGTATTGAAATCTACCCAAACTGGTTCTATGAACAATTCTCTCTAGAATAGGGGTTAGCGCAGAACGCCTACCCTCAAAACGGCACGCGGCAGTTTCCCGTTGTGCAGCTCGCCCCTCAAAACCTTAGCCTCCTTAGCCGTGTTTGTGGGCTCGGGAAGGGGACCTGACAAACAGCTTCGCTTCGCGCCTTCCGACTCTTAATTGTCCTGCCCGGAATCAATCTCACGTGTAGCTAGAGTATTGATTTCTTGACCTTGCGCTGTGCTCAGCAGATGCTTCGCGTCCGATCTGATGCCAGATAAGAGAATCGCAGATATCTGGAAAAAGGCTAGAGGTGTGTCTTGGCGCTTACACAGTAATGTTAAAGGCAAATCTGGCTATATGCTGAAACCTCCGCCGAGTATCCAATAATAATCGCGTCCGTGCGGACAATCAAGTCTAAGACCGCAAAACCTCAACAACTGCACGCCAGACATCCCCTATATATAAGATGGGATGATGTGATCTAATCAACACTTCGTGCCTCCAGGCTCACTCAATCCTTCTCCGGGAAAGCTCACATACATATGTATTCCCTACTATTCCGTAATCTGGTGAAATTAATTATAAAAATAAATCGTCTGTATACGTGATCATATGGGAGCTCTCGAGTTTCCAAGGGCAGTTTTAAAAATCTTCTTGATTGACCACAGCCTTGGAATGCACCGAGCCCGAACTTCCACACCATGGAAGTTAACCAGAGTTTCAAACCATCATCAGGTCAGATCGTAGTTACGCGGGACAGTCTGGACATATATAGATGGGACATATACCAACGGGGCTGATCGGGACAGTCTGGACTTTGGATACTATCTGGACATCCGGGTCCAATAGGGACAAGGTGTGCATCTTCCCAACCAAAGAAAAATTATTTTGCTTCTAGTTCTTCACTCACATGTGGCCCTCAGGCAAAAGTTGTTCCGCCCACAGAAATTTGAAGATGACCCTGAGGCAAAATTTGTTACACCCAAAGAAAAATTCTGAAATGAATACATTCACAGTGCTATTGTTGGGTAAGTATATACCCGGACAGCATCCACACATGGACGCATGGACAGTCTCGATGGACATCTGAAATTCCGGATGGCAACCATGGGTTAGGCCTAAGAGGAGCTACAGGCTTACGCAGGTTCACTGTAGGCCGAACAGACCCATACCTCCCATACCTATCAGAGCACTCCTAGGAATGCGCACAAGACAGTGGTCGTTCAAGCTTTTTGGCAGTTGTGTTGCTCCTCTCATACTGAAATGCAATGCAAATTTCTGGTGACCTTTCTGCCGTTTTACTTGCGTAAAAGATTTGTTTCTCCCAGGATGAAATTTGTGGTACTTGAATGAATTTTGGAACTGACTCGCAGCACAACAAATTGAAAGCAAGTAGTCGAAGACCACACACAGTCTCTCTCTCCCTCCCTCCCTCCCTTGTTCTCTCTCTCTCTCACACACACACAGAGACACACGTACACACACAGGGAAACACGCATGCATGTGCGCGTGGACACCCACACCCACACCCACATGCACACACACCCACATGCCCACACGCACACACCCAGAGGGCCAGCAAACAGAGGCGTGCACACAACCAAGTGAAATCCCATGGACATACCTGAATCTCTCTTGTCAGATCTCGTTTCTCTTTATCACAAAGCTCCTCCTCACATCTACACACGGTACGCATTAGATCTCTCTCTTCGGCCACCTCGCTAGCCCGCTGCTCCTCGTCTTGAATGCTTGCCAGCAACTGTGAAATCTGCATCATCCATCCCAGCCAAGGTCAGCAAATCTCCAGGACATATTTGGTTATGACCAGTGAACCTTCCTGTCTCCTCCCCCCCTCCCTCCCCCCCGGCCCCCTCTCCCCTGACCCCTCACTTCACTAGAGGTCACAAAGCTCATCTGCAGTCCGCTCCCTCGCTGCAAGCTACAAAAATACATTTTCCGTGTGAGCCATAAATGTCAGCAACCATTAATCCCTTCTCATTCCCCTTCCTCCGCTGTTTGCTCCCTTATCTGATAATTCATTGGGCTTCATATCCTTTTCCCCCAGTCGCCTAAAGAGTTCCAAGGCACTCGTGTCTACAAAATAAAGGCGAAAACCGCAAACAAAAGGCAGTTCACCAGAGGGGTTGCTCAACATCAAAACACAACTACAGAAGAAGAAGGCAGCGACGCCGGAGAGGGCAAAAGAAAAAAAAAGGGTGTTGTGACTGAATGGCAATACACACGTGGAGGAGTTGACAAGCAGGTCACGAGTTCAAATCGCAATGGACCAAACAATGTTAGAAGCAACCACTTTTTTTTTCACACAAAAGGAAAGAAAGAGAAAATACACGTTCCTCAGCATTGGAGCTCCTACTAGTTTTACTTGCCTAGAAGCTTATGAACCTTAAGATGTTCAGAACGCATAAGAAACTACGAGAGACTACAGGAGACTGCGGTGGCAGGAACACAAACACATCAGGATGTAGCAACCGGAACAAAAGTTGAAGGAGAAAGGAAATAGTTCAAAATTCAAATACTACAAATAGGAAATTAAATTGGGATTAGGAGAGCACAATTGCTATATTCAACAATTAAAATGTTGGACACCTGAATTGTTTTTTTTTTTTTCCTTTTCATTCCTGGTCACAATAAAGAGAGTCCGAAATCTGCTGTAGGGACATACCCTTCCGCTCAGCTCCTGCTCTTGCAATGCTGACCTGTCATTTACCATCTCCAGCTCAGTACACCTGAAAAGAAAGGCATTGAGACAATGTCAGTCTGATTCCACTCACAGTTTTGTGAGAGATTTGCACGTGCTGAGTGAAACCAAGGAATCCGGGACGAGGAACAGACATGATGGTGGACCAGAAGCAGAATGGGAAGCAGACCCAAAACCACAACCAGGAACAGACGTGATCCAGGACCGACAGCAGAACGACACCAAGTTATCCACAAACCAGAACAGGACCAAAAGCAGGACCGAAACCATGACCAGGAACAGAAATGATCCAGGACCAGAAGCAGAAGAAGAAACATACAAAACCCATAACCAGGGACAGACGTGATGCAGGACCGAAAGCAGAATCACAAGCTGCATCCAGGTTGCCGTTCTGCACTTGAACACAAACGCAGTGCACACAGATTCACAGAATCATACCACCATCATGGCACCATGCACAATTTTTGTTCCACCCTCTCAAAGTCTTTGCCAGGTGCAACCTCTAGGAGATGATTATCTACTCCCAGTCTCTGCTCTAGTAGTAGCAGCTGAAGGTAACCTTGGATCATCCAGCTGAGCACTCCTGCCAGGAGCAGGCCTCCAGGATAAATCGTTGGACTGGCAGAATCGCTTGCCTGTGCATCAGGCCGGGGGGCAAATGATCGATCCAAGTCCAATTGTTTGCTGAACCTGCCCCCTCCTCATGTTAGGGGCGGCGCTGCGCGCGACTGGTTGGCACGCACGCCTGAAAGAGTTCCCGTCTAAGCACAAGGGTGGCTGCGGTTCAGTATTCCCCATGCCAGACAAAAGCTGGGATTCACGGCCGGCCTTTAAAAATTGTGTTCCGCAGCTTCCGCTGCAAATCACCAAACTGTCATAGCCGCGTGCGGTAAATAACTTATTAATGGCACTCAGCGATTTTGGTAGTGTTGGGGAAGGAGCCAGAGCCACAAGGACCCGTTCTAACATTCGAAAAGACAAAAAAAAAAGAAGAAAATTTCCAGGAAGTAGAGTTAAGACATCCGAACGGCTTTCCAGGAAGCAGAGTTGAGACATCCGAACGGCAACTTAACGGAGGAAGATACTTCACGATGCGTACCTCTGCCTCAGTTCTTCGTTTTCACCGACAAGCCGCTGGATTCTTGCATCAATCTCAAGAATGATGCTCCCTTCAGAATCCCTCTCTGCGGAAAGATCCATTCCATTCCCATAACCGTTTCCATCCCGAACTTGCATCCTGCCCTCTTCCCCTCCCCCTGCATCGGGCGGCCTTTCACATTCACCCTTGTCTGGGTGTATTCCTAGTTCCATTGACTTTGCACGTTCGATCGCCAGCACAGCTCCACCATTGTCTGTCTGTCTCCAGCTAACGTCATTTTCCTCTGCCCCAGTGTCAGACGGTGAGCTCCGCCTCATCATCCACCCACTTTCTGAACTCCGAGGACTGCAATCGGTAGCATCCTCCTGGCTGACATCGCCGATACCTTCACTATCCATTCTCCCCTCGTCTTTCTCCGCATCACCTCCAGACTTCTCTCCGTCTTGTCCCTCACTTCCTTTCTCATCTGCCATCTCTGCACTGCCGTCTTGCACTGACGCCTGTCCACAAGGCAGCAACATGCCGACCCTGTTGACCCCGTTCTCAGCTGACAGCTCGTTCGCCGTTCCAAAAGCAGGATCGCTTGCTGCCATCCTGTTGTCTGGATGTGATGGGCTTAACCTACCATTCCGAAGATGCGACACCGCCATCTGAAGGTCTTGCAGGGTTGGTTTTACGTCTTCCATCGTCTCTGCTTCATTACTTTCACATCCCAATAACGGGGGAGGGGGAAGCAGTCTGATCTCCATAGGACCGCCACAACCAGCAATCCCATTGCATGAAGGCTGGTGGGTGGAATAGTTCTCATATCCCATCCCAGGACCCTCGATCAAGCACAGTGGAGCCGCCGATATGATCTCCGGAGGAGGACTCGGGGCAGGAAGAGCCTTAGGAGCACGAGGCTTGACTTTTCGCTGATAGCCAATCAAATGGCAATGCAGTTTCCTGTCATGACAGGCAACAAACTTGGGGTAAGTAGTTCTTATCTCGAATGTTTCTTTTTTCTATTTTCCACATGTTGCTAATGAGGCAGCTGTAGTTTTCTCTCATCTTAGTTTTTCCTTTTTCACAAGAGACAATGGAACAATGAAGTACACACGATAGCTGCCCCTGTGTAACATCTGGCCTTTGTTACTCCTCCTTAGGAGCTCACTTAGTGAATAGGAGTAGATAATGCCCGACAACTGTACGAAAAACAGCCCTGTTCGTTCTGTAGAAAAGTGCAGAAACACTACAAAGAGTCGGCTATGCCTGGGGTTACCACAGTGCTGTGGGCTGGCCAACAGCCTGCGTTGAACTGCCAGTACATCACCAAGGCAAACTTGAGAAAAGGAGTCATCTGGAACTTCGTAAAAGACAGGAAAAAGCGCTGTGCTCCTAGGAAGATTTTCATGACCGGCCGGTCACCCGGGTGTGACGCCCGGGCAACCCGGTCAGGGCAAAAAAAAAAAAAAAAAATGGCGGTGGGGTTTTTCCGCGCTCTCCAAGAGGAGCCCAAATCCGGGCTCTTTTCTTTTTTTGATTGTTCGCTGTCAAGGGGGGGAAAGGGGAGTGTAAATGAAATTTAAAGGGGCTAAAGGGGTTTAAAGGGGGGTGCCTTGGTGTGATATGGTCATTTTCTTTTTTATCTTTAGTTCTGTGAGGAATTCTGATGCGACCCTCAGCCAAAAGTTGTTTGTATAGCAATTCTACACAACATTTTTTTTTTTTCAGATTTTTTTGGATTCGATTTTTTTTTTTTTTTTTTTTTTTTTGCGCTGAGGCTGCCCGGGGCCATGCCCGGGGGTCATGCCCGGACGGTCACCCGGTCGCCAATCCGGGCGTGACATTGGGACCCAGGCGCACGGGATATCTCCCTAGCTGTGCTCGCATTTCAGCAAAGCTTGGCGCACAGGGGCGCTTCGTCTCAGCAGAAAGAGGCTGGGACGTACTGGTGGTTCGAAAAATAAAAAAATGAAACAAGACCCATACATTGCAATCGACTCTGCTGAGTGAGAGAATGTCAAGGAAGCATTGGCTACATCCCCTTTTCATCATCAAGGAAGACAGCAGGGGGGAATTTCAAAGGGATGTAGAACTGCATGCAAGTACATTTGTCGCGACCACAGCTAGAAAGCGTAGATGAGAGAAACAAAGCAAATGCTGGACAGACGAACACCGCTGTCAACATGGAAGAAAGGAGCGCGGAAGACTGATTATATTTTATTATTTTCCTGAAACTGAAGCAAAACAAACGGGAAAAAAGTGGACAAACAATAGAAAAGGTGGACAGGACTTGGCATCTAAACTGTCCGACGATCTGTCAGATCTACGGACAAGCTGAGATTCAGCCACCAGGCTGCAACCACATCCCGACAAACTACTACAATGATAGCCCCCTCCTGATCCTCTTCCAGTTAGATAGCAACCCAGAGAGTCAGAAATGAGAGGCATTGCGCTGATGATCAGCTTAACAAAAGTCGGATCTTTTAGATAAACTCCAGTATGTGTACAGGTTGTGAGTAAGCCAGCAGGCAGCAACAAAAGTCGAACATACGAAAAGATCCCCACCCTCTTCCAGTCAGAATGCAACCCAGAGAGTCAGAGATGGATGCCATTGGGCTGTTCCTGACACCTTCGCTAATGAAGGTATCTGTCTCTTTACCTACGGAAAAAAGGTATGTAGTATTTATGACTGCCTTCAATCATTCTTGATATTTACAATGCGTAGACCGAGGAAGGTTAAGATGACGAAACACAAGTTGACCTATTGAAAAACAGAGACAGATGTAGTTAGGTCCATAGACTCTGTACCAGTATTCCTGGGCCATGAGCCGAAGACGCGTCTCCAGCTTCAGCATGAGAGAGGTTCGCTCAAAATCTTGTTTGTCGTGCGCGGGCTCAATGAAGTTCGCCTCCAGGACTCCTGTCAATCACACAACCCTGATTTGTCAACAGCAGCAAAACCTCTGCTTGCAAGAGCACTCATTAAGAACTATCGTCTTCACCCGAATAGAACGCCCAGTAATTATCGCCGTATCTGGGCTGAAAGTTGTGCCAAATACAGCTATAATCACCGGCCGTTCTATTCGGGTGAAGACGGTAATTTGTCCATCACTGGAACGTGTCTCCACCACAAAACCAAGAGCCGTTAAACCACATCTCGGTCATTTTTCGTGAGCAGCCCCTTGGCATGCACCCACTTCTACGGATGGCAATGTGGCTAGCCCGTCCAATGGGCCGACCAACTACTGGACTGACCAACTGAAGAATAGAAAGCCCTGCGATAACCATGCAGGTCACAAAAACGAGGCGGCATTTTGAGCAGCAAGGCCTCCGCCTGCAAGACGCAAGGCGTTTTGTTCATTTCTTTATTATCAATTAACGAATGAATAACGGTTCCACTACTCAATCACTCATTCTCCACTGCAGAGGATGCCACAAACTCGAAGCAAAGCACCTAATTCAAAAGAGAGAAATTTCAGACGCGACATCTGTTGAAAATGGAACAATACAGAAAAGATTAGCATGGCCACTGCGCAAGGATGACATGCAAAAAATAAAATCAAAATAATAAAAATAAAAAAGAGAAAGCTTCAGCACACGGGCAACTTGCTGCAAGCAGTCGAGCCAAGCACCTTGAACGGCATTCCACAATGCAGACCTCAAATTCGAATTCCAGGGTCAAGGTCTCAGGCCAAGGGAGGCCAAGGCGGTCAGAAAAGTCACAGTTGGGTAATTTAGGAGCCATGTCCAACAGGCACCCTGTAAACAGTCACATCCCAAAGGAAAAAGTTGCATTCTGTAAGCAAAAGTCACAAGGTTACCTGTTGCGACTTCGCTCGCAAAAAGATGAAGGGAAAAGGGTGCAAATGAGGGTGGGTAGGGGTTTGTTGGTCGGGTGTGGGTTTGGGTGGGGTCGGGGTGGTTTTTAGGCTCACCAGTGCATTGTTGTTGACACTGCCGATGGAATGCTGCTGCTGCTTTGTAACTTTGCAAGCCTTGGATATATATTTTTCTTTCTTTCTTTTGTGCTTTTTTGTCCTGTCAAACACCTGATCACAGTTTGCAATCCTTTCAGTTGTGGTTTGCTGGGTTGGTAGTTGTCCGGATTTGAACTCACCTGTTGTGTCACTTGTGTGTGTATCACACTTTGCATACCTGTCTCCCGCTAACCAAAAATATTCTTTCTCAGATGTCAGGAGATCCGCAATTCTGCTATCGTGCGGGGCGGAGGGCGCGGGGCGCGCAGTTAGTTAGATTGGTCTCTCTCTCTCTCTCTCTCTCTCTCTCTCTCTCTCTCTCT